TGTGGGTATTTCCTTCGAGTAGAAGAAATCCTTCTGGAGGATGCACAAACTGCCGAGGACTTTACTTGTACGGCGCCATTTCTTCTTTCCATCTTGCCACGCGAAAAAAGGAGAAAACAAGTTGCAGCGGGAAGGACGACTAAAACGCTACTAAAAGTCGACCGGTTGGCAAGAAGCAAAGGGTAAGAGGAAGAAGAATAAGAACAAGAGGAAGAAGGGAAAGAAGAAAAGGAGGAGGAGGAAGACGAGATCTCTCAGGGAGCGAGACGATCGTAAAGGCAAGAACGACAGAGACAAAGAGGCGAATGTTAATGAGGCAGATCTTGACCTCTCGCATCGCGCGAGGATCTCATCAGGATTCGCGGCCGAAACTCGAATCCTTGTTTCCTCAGTCCGGCTCGCTCTGAATTCGCGAATTCAAATACATTAGCGCGATAACATATAAAATACAACAGTAACAAGGAAAATAATTGATTTTATAAATTTCTAAAAATAATAATAAATTTAATTAAAAATTAAAAGGTATCACAATAATGTTTTTATTTTGTAAAAATTTTTGCGTTTTTTTCCTAAAATTTGAAAATCGTTTTCTAACGTAAGTGGAACTCATTGTAAAAAAGAAAGTTTACGATATCTTGAGAAAAATTATTAAGCTAAAATATTTCATCGTAAAACAATGTAGCGAACATTCTTAAAATCTTTTCCTCCAAAAATAATTTTGAAATTATTTTTAAATTTTTTTATTAATTTTTTTAGAGTAACAGAATGTTAATGCCCATTTGCAATGTCTATTTTAAAATATTGCCGGTGTCCACGTGAAATTATATGAAATATGGCAGTGTCTTGGCAGTGTCTTTTCGAAGGGTTAAGTCGCGGGAAAAGAGAATCTGTTCCTCTTCTCCGGGCTATTCTCTTGCTCAACTCGCGCGATCCGGTTCTTTGTTGCGCGACGGACGGACCTACTTGCTTGAGATTGATCGCGCGGTGGTGGGCTTAACGAGGCACGACGGACCTCAAAATCTGCTCGATAATTAATGAGAATCCCCGCTCGAGCGATGTAACGCAACGTTGAAATGCAACGACGAGATATGCAACGAGTATCTTCGACCTGGGAGCGTGCGCTGATTTGCCGAAAAAGAATATTGTACTTATTTTTCGCGAAGCTGCAAAATAATCAATAAAGCCAGTATCAAGATTATTCAAATGTATTCTCGAAATTTTCTCAGAAATTAAGATCTGTTTCATCGTATTGATGAAACAGATTATTGTTATTGAATTAGACAGAAAACGCTTCGAAAATTTTAACGAAACAAGCCGTCTTTTCTTTGCGACTTTATTTTTATTTGCTAAATTTATTATCTACTATTTATTTTTTATATCAAGTTGCGTTTTATTTTATTTTATTTTATTTTATTATATTGAAAACTTAAGTATCTGTTTGCAGTCTTTTTAAGTTCTGACATCAAATACCGTTAGAGAATTAATATGTTGTTGACACAAAGAGAAATCTTTCTAATGGAGTTCTTTCTTCTTAATTAGAACATACTAGAGAGAAACGTTGTAGATTCTTTCGCTAAGAGAGAATTTTATCTTAGCGTTTTTATTTGTCGTTTTGTGCCATATTATTGCAAAAATGCAGCGTCGGCAGATCTTTAGCATGATGCGCATTCTTTATGCATGCGTTCTCGTTTAAATGCAACGCACCCCAACGTCCGTGCGAAGTAGGCCACGCCAAAGTGGTCCAACCTGTATAATCATTGGCGTATTAACGTCGTGAAAAATCAAGGCCGCCGTTGACAGCCTTATGGCCATCACATGTATGATGTGCTCGTTAAAAGCGCCGTTACAGCTTATCTTGGTCGTTGAATTATCCGTGAATAATAGAAATAAAAACTGCGTTAAATTAGTAATTAAATTTTATTAGCATTCAAATAAAAGTGCAATTTAAGTTGCAATACAATCAAGATTAACACAGGATCACAAGAAAATTAACTAATTAATTTTAATAAAATTACAAATCACACCTCATTTCTTGACATTTCTCCATTAAATTGCAATAAAAATTTCAATATACGTATCTATATATATTGATGTTTTTTAGTTTATTGAGATTTAGTTTATTGAGATTTTATTTTCCTATTTTATTTCCGATCCCTTTTTGCCTCATACGGATTGATGTTTAATATCAATCTCTGAAGAGATATAGTACTGGGGAGATCATCCCCAAGAATATATCTCATGGATTCATTATAACGTTTGAAGAGAACTCTCGGACGTTCACCTCTCTCGTCGCGAGAGGACTGGCTTCCGGTCCTCATGGAAGAGGCTAACGAACGCTAAATCGTATCCGACGTATGATTCTTGGTGTCTCTTTACCGCTACAAAGGTAGTCGCACGCGTTGCTCATTTCCGTCATACTCATGAACACGACATGTGCATATAAAGAAGATATGAGAAATAGAAAAATGTTTTCGAATAATCTCGGAATTACTTAATTTAATTTAGATTTTACATTCACTTGATACTTGATACTTTATCTCGACTTCAATTTAAAATTTAAACTTTGTACTGCAGACATTTCTTTAATATTTAATATCCTATAATTATATTAGCTTAAAAATTAAATAAAAATTTTTATCAAGAAGGATTGTACTCTTACATATTTATGAAAAAGCTCTTGCGACTTAATACGACTTCTACAATCTAAACTTTTAAATTTAGAAGACCGTAATGTGTTCGGTTTTAAGATGATGACAATCGTGGTCACGATGGATTGCGCTGGTCAGGAATTGATTGTCTCCAGGAATCGAGAGAGAGAGAGAGAGAGGGGGGGGGCAAGAGAGAGAGAAGACAAGGAAGAGAAGGAAAAAAAGGAAAAGAGAAGAAGCGTCCTTGCCGGCAGCTTTGAACTGGTTATGTCAAATAGCCAGCCGGCATTTGTATGCGTGTGGCGCGTTGTCTTAAACTCACTTATGGGTTTCCTGCTGAGAGGAGAATTTGACAGGATTTTGCTTCTCGTTGGTTTTTTAACCAGTCACTTCCGGTTTTGCGTGCGTTTCGTAACCATCATATATGTCCGAATTGAGTTAGTTAAAAGCGTGCTTCTTGCTTACTCCGTAAAACCCAAATTAATTTTAATTAAAGACAGACTTCCCGAAAGTCTTACATCTCGTCTGAAGAAATAAGATAAAATCAGAGTGGAATGTTTTTTTAATTATATAAGGAAATTAAGTACTACAAGAGAATTTTATTTTAGTTATAATATAAAGATTTTTTATTTTGACTCTTATTTTAATTTCCGGGATTTTAATTTCGCTTTTTTGTTTTTGCTAAACTATTGAAAAAAAAAAAGAAAAGGACTAATTAAAGATAATTTTAACGCAATAATTTTTCTCCTATTTTTTGTGCGTTTTGAGATGAAACAAGAAATAAATTAATTTGACGAAATTTAATGAATTCATTCGAAGTTCTTCGCGAGTCGATTAAAATGCAGGAACCGGTCTTCGAATGCTGAATTTTATTAAGTCTCCGCGAAATACGCTAATGTATATGTACTTAATTAGACGTTATAAACTTTGAACTCGCATTTGCATAAGCGCCGACCCGAGCTTAGTATCGCTGACATTAATCTGTTACTTATACGCGACAAACAGGATAGAGTGAGAGAAGAAACGAACGGAGAAGGAGGACAGGGGCAAAGAAGGGCATACCGAATCCGTGATATTTCGCTGTGTTCCGCATAATTAGCGATACTAATTAACGGCCGTATCCTCACGCTCTTGTCAAACGCAATTACGCTAAGTAAACATGCCCCGCGGACACCTTACAAGTGAGCGGGTGTCTCATGACCTTTTTAATATTATACATTAATATGTAACCAATAATCATGTTAACTTAAGGATTGGAGAAACGTAATTTAATTATATATAATTGAATTTTCCACTTAAAATTTAATTTAACATGAAATTTATGTTATTTTAATTTAAATATTACAAAAAATTTACTTTTTATTTAATATAAGCTTGAACAAATTGTAAAAAAATTATGGTAAGAGAAACTAGCTATATTATATCATTCATGAAAAATCTATTTAATATTATTCAATTTAGGTTAATTTAAATTCTTTAACTGTGCACATACTTTACGCATTTATTTTACTTTACGCATACACGTGCACATGTAATTCGAAAGATAATTAAAGAGCGTTTAAAGTTATTTGACGTATCTAAAGCGTCACTCGATATAAAGCGGCGCGATTAAAATGATAAATCCGCAGGTTATAGCGTGAAATCCACTGGCATTCGAGGCCACCGCTTGAAGGTAGATCACCTGTCGTTACCTATTAGTCAAGGGGATTTTGTAATTATTAGTTGCTCAGTCCATTAGCGTTGAGGAAACATCCCATCCGAGCCGCGTCATCGCCTAGAGCCAAGCAGAGTGGCTCCTTTATCCTCCCTATGTTCGAGGATTATTTTAGCGAGTCTAATGAGTTTTGATAGTCGGCTGCAGATCCCGTTTAATCGCGGGGTGTCCTGCGAGCGTGTCCGATTGCTACCGTTTCGCATAAGCGTTAGTCCTATGTAGAATAATGCTGACGTCGAATAATGCAATTACGCGTTTTCATCGTGTCAAGGAAAAACGATGCGTCGGATTAAATCGAGCGTCACGAATGTTAAAAGGAAAGCTGAATATAATAACTCTTTAATTAATGGTTTTATATTTTACATGAAAATGTGGATAACGATATTATTTTATGGGTTACAGATGCGTTTACAAATTTATTTTACGCCTATAACAAATTTTAGATCTGCAGTTAACTTGTATTACAAAAGTATTAAGGTGAAGGATGAGTTACAAGGGAATGTTACAATTTCTACGAATATTCTACTTCAAGGAAAAGAAAAATTTTGTGTTGCGAATGGCTACGTTTTATTATAATATAAGGATAAAAGATATTAAAATTAGGTATGTTCCTTAAACTGCGATTTTCTCTGTTGCAGGGACACGATCTTTCACAAGCTAGATGATGTTTGCCAAGTTTTGCAGACAAGTTCCAGATGGTGAGTGCTTAAAAAAATCCTATCTACATATAGTATGCCTATATATTTAGTCCACCGCATTTGCTTTAGAGCAAGGACTGTATTCGCTGGTTTATTCATGTTTTAAATAAAGAAACAGCCATATCTGACAAGTAATCACTTTGCATTTGTTGCATAATGTATAATGCAAGAATACAAAACTTAAATAGTAGTTATGCTAATATTTAAAAAGAGTCATCATAATTCAGCCGCACCTATGATTGTTACAGTCACAGAATTTATATAGATGAAGATATAAATATGACAAAAGCGTAATACTATATAATACTTTGCTTTTGCTGATTGATAAAATATCCAATAACATAACAAATGATGAGATAAACAAGGAAGTGATCGCTGTATCGATTAGCATTTATTGTTAGAGGATTCCTGGAGAGATCTCTGAGAGATGCGAGTTTGCGTGCCGAGGTCACGGTTCGACGAAAAGACGTGAGAACGGGAACGTCCTCCTTCGTGCTTTAAAGCCGCGAATTAACTTCTTTTTGTTTTTCGTCGCGGCCGCGGCAGCGTAGATTTTCGACATCGAAATTGCTCAGCCACCACCGACACACCGGGGGTTACGACTTCTCGTAACGAGACCGCTTCGCTTATTCAGCTGGGATAAAAAGTCGTGAGAACTGCCTGAAAAAATTTCTCTGTTCGGTTTTACGAGTATCATTTTAAAAAGATCGGCAGGCAAATTATTTGTTTCTTTATATATAATATAAACACACAAAAATATACAATACATGATAAATATATGCATATACTGCACGTACATACATACGTAATCAAAAGTTAATCTTCTTTCTTGAAAAAAATAAGAGTTATCTCTAGAAAATTATTTCTATAAATATTAATTTTCTTTTTAATATTATAATATATATATTATAATGAGTCATTATTAATGACCATGTTATATTAATAATAATTTTGTTCAAAGAATTTAATATGATATGAAACTATGAAAAAATAAAGTTATGAAATTATAACAATGTAAAGTAATATTTAAAAATTAACTTTTCAATATATGTATAATATATCAATTATATATTTATTAAATTTTTAACAATTTGTACGTGAGAAATATTTTATTCCGCATATATAGTACATACAAATCTTTATAATTACAATTTATACTTTTAATTAGCATAAACGTCAGTATTTTGATGAATAACTCTGAATAGCGATGATCTTGGAACGTAATCTTCTGAACTCTCTTAACGTAAGAGTGCAGAAACAGTGAGACAGTACGATAACAGTAAAAAGAAAAAAGAACCTTATTAAGTCGTCTTAATTAACAAACTCTCTTCCGAAGCGGCTCTTAATCGACATCATTAGACATGGAACTCTAACGCTAATTCCGCAATTGGGATTTAATTAACGACTTAATTAATGACTTTATCGTGACGATGTTGTCCCCTGGGAAAATTATGACACAATCCACCTGCGCGGGACATTATATACGTCGACGACAGCGTATTTCTGAACGTTTATTATGAACAAACAACCGCAAACACATTTGAAGAAATACGTTAATCGCATAATTATAGTCACAAGAAATCTTTAAATTCCTGAGATTTCTCAGAATTACGTTTTTAAATGTCTCTCCTTGCAATGAGATTTAGTTTAATTGATTTTTGTATAATTGTCATTCTTTTTCTTATTTTTTTGGAAAAGTTAAATTAAAATGGAAAATAAAAATATTATTCTTATTTATTCGTTATGTATATTATGGAACAGAGATCATATAACATATAATATATACTATAACATTTATTTTGTTATGCAATTTAAAGCTTAATTGTACAAAATTTCGGTTTAATGTACCCCGTGGTAAGCCATTTGACGGGTCGTTTCTCGTGAAGCATAAAAACGATCTCCTCGGGCCCCCTGTTTTCCGCTAACTTGCCGTCGCAAGAAAGGATAAGAGAAGAAAAGGGTTCAAGACCTCGAGGGGAACCCAATGGGAAGCATAGCAGCGTGTAGCAGCGCCGACTCTTTTAAAGACGTCGGCGCCGCTTAATTAGCATGCTAATTAGTTGCGCGAATTTCGTGACGCGAACGACGAGGATGTACACCTCGTTCAGAGTGCATTCTCAGGCAGGACGTGGTCTGCAGTGATCGATTCTCGCGGCACGACCGTCATTAATTACTTTATTCGTGGATTAGCGACCTCTCGTCAATTAGTCGTGCTCTAATAATTAATTCGATCGATCGTTAGTTATGTCGAAAAACGATTATTGATATTATTATTTAGAGAAATTATTAAATTTAAAAAAAATATTGTTTTTAATTATTAATTATTATTAGCATTAATAATATAATCATATAATTATAGAAAAAATAATAGATAGAATTAAATCAAATTAAACCCTAGGGAAGAGGATTACTTAAAAAATTTTTTTTATGACGATCTTTTAGAAAAAAGAGGAAAGAGAAGAATTAATTAATTATCGTAGTGACTGCGATGTTGCGACGTTCGTGAGCAATTAAAATTTTCTTATCGCCCTTCGCATTACCATCCGAAATTAACTTCCTTACTGAAGCGCTTTACGAGATTCCTTAGGAATTTAATCAGCTATCAGCATCGTGCAGCATTGCGAGAAAAGAATGGGAAGGAGCGGCAGCTAATAGATGCCTAATCTCGAGCGCATTGACCGATTGGAAGTGAGATAGAACGATATAGGGATGTCGGTGCTAGGTAATACCGAGTATATCGAAACACGGCATCGGTCGTTAAAGTGCGCGATATAAATAGGTGTTCCTGCGTTTAACAACGCCGTAAAATCGTTAGGCCGTGCTCATTAACGCGTTCTTTCTTGGGCGTTCAATTCTCCGTTCCGAGCGCAACCTCGACAATTTCCAGATAAGCAATGCTTTACGATCATTGTCTTTCATTTGTCCGTGTCTCTGCTCGTTGAAAATTTTAGGACGATCTAACGCGTTGCTGTTGTTTAAATGTAAATTATTATATCAACATCTATATAAATAGCAGAATAATGACTGATTAAAAATTGAATTAATATAAAAATTAAAAAGAAAAAGGCCAATGATCGAGCAATAGTAGATGTTAAACCTTTTTCTTTTTAATTTTTATATTCATACGAGCTTGGTTATTATTTTTATATTTATTTGAACTAAATTAAATTGACTTCTTTAACCAGAATTTATGTAGAATTGAGATAAAACTGAATTACTAAAATATTGAAATGGAATTAATTTAGAACTTAATTAAGAAATATTCGGGTAAATTTCAAATCATAAATTAAAAAACTGGTGCCTTTTGTAACTAAATTATTTTTTATTTGCCAATGAAAATGAATTGCTGACGATTGAGCGTATCGTATTTTTTCACTCTCTTATATCTATTTTTTCTTTTTTTTTCTTTGATCTTTCCAAACTTTTGATGTCAATGATCAAAGCGCGGCGCGGTTTAATTTTAAGCACGGTTAAATGACTATCAGGGAGAAATGACAAATATGTCATTTTCTTAATTGAGGAATATTATTCTTAATTAAATATTTAGTTATAAAATCAAGAAATTTAAAAAGATTTTTTTCCACATATTTCAATCAATTTAATTTATCATGATATCTATAATCTATAATCCATACATTTTTCCTCAATCATTGATAGTGTTATCGGTATCCTTAAATATCCGACGCTGATTATCTGAATGTTATAAGCATTAGCGGATACTGGCGAAAGAACGACATCGAGAAAGGGCACCATGGGACGTTTCGCGCCGCTTCGAGACGAAGAGCATTGTCCGTGCAGCGGGACAGCGATGTTTAAGCGAGGCCCCTCGCCCGGGGCGAGATGTGCCTCAAATTGATTTGTTGTAAGCGATACGCTACCCCTACGGGGCGAGCGAATGGCACAATAATTGGCTACATAAACAATGACCGGCGAAACGATCCCTCACCGTCTCGACACCGTCTCTTAAACGCCGTTATCTCGCAACAATGTGAGACAGCGCCGCGCGCCGCTCGTATGAAATAAACATACGAGTGGAGCGTGAATTTGGAATAAGATATCGCTATACTTGTCATTTGCGTCATAATTGAGTGAACGGTTGAAACAAATGTATATCAACAATATTGTTAGATTATACACACATATATACTTATATGATATGATTTACAATATAATTAAAAATGTGTATTATATAAATAAATAACACATTACATATATAACTCTGTAATTAATATAAATTATATTGCAAATATAATATTTGCAAAGAAAATCCGAAGAATTTTTCCAACGAATACTACATAAATTCACGAATTACCTTTGTCATTGCAAATACTTTTGTGGCGGGGTTTAATTAATTGTAGGATTTTCGAGACTTCGAGACCATAAGGGAAGCGAGCATAGGACGTCGAAATCTTCCAAGGCGTTCAAAAGATCGCACTTTTGCCAGATTGGCAGAACGGGTCAGATTGGCTTCATGGCTGAAAAGTAATTGCGAGATCCGAGATATCGCCGGCCAGCCGCTATACGCAATTTGGGCCTACATCTGGCCCCACTGCTTCTTCTTTTCGCCGGATATATTTTCGCGCATAGAGATCGAATCGTTTGAAAGAAAATTTATTTTAAAAATGTTCGAAACAAGTAGTGGCATATATTCCGCGGATATACAAGAAATAAAGAAAAGACATATTTTAAGAGAGAAGAGGAGGCCACTTCCCCCCCCCCCCCCCGAACGTGCGGAGTATATCGAGTTCATGCCGTTGAAGCAAACCACAATGAATATGTATCAAATTTATGACGCGCGGTTGTGTGGTACCATGCGCTTCTCCGCCCACTCACACTCGCGTGCATGCTTCGTGATTTATGCCGATCGTAATGCAGACGGTACACGAGCCGAGAACCTCGAGGAAAAAGGAAAATTATCCTCTATTTTCCCCGCCGTACGTTTCAATCTAATTAGGAATTTTCGAATCTACGTTGCTTCTTACGAGAGAGTCGAGAATATTTCTA